GATGGTACTGTATCAAGGTATAAAGCAAGACTAGTTGCTCAAGGGTTTTCTCAAGAGCATGGTGTAGATTATTCAGATACTTTTGGTCCAGTTGTGAGACATACAACTGTAAGACTCATTCTTGCTTTGGCTGCAATGAATAAATGGGAATTGAAACAACTTGATGTCAAGAATGCATTTCTGCATGGTGAGCTACAAGAAGAAGTTTATGTGAAACAGCCACAAGGGTTTGTTGATTCAAGTCATCCCAATTATGCATGCAAACTCCTCAAGTCACTATATGGACTCAAACAAGCCCCAAGGGCTTGGAATTCAAAATTTACAAGCTACTTGGTGATAATGGGGTTTACTACATCAGTATCTGATACTAGTTTGTTTATCAAAACTGATAACAATGATATCATCATATTATTGCTCTATGTTGATGATATAATATTGACTAGATCATGTGTGACTAAAGTACAACTCATAGTTCAAGAGCTCTCTTTTGTGTTTGACTTGAAAGATTTGGGGAAGCTGACATATTTCCTTGTTTTATAGATTCAATATAAACCAAATGGAGACATTTTTGTAAATCAGTCGAAATACATAAAGGATTTACTTCATAAGGCATGTATGGATTCTTGCAAGCCTGCCAATACACCATATAGACCACATAATCAAATGATGGTGACAGAAGGAGTGTTACTTTCAGATCCTTGTTCATACAGAAGCATTGTTGGTTCCTTGCAGTATCATACGTTTACTAGACGGGATATTGTGTTTGCTGTGAATACAGTATGTCAACACATGCATTCACTAACTGAGGTTCATTTTGGTGCTGTAAAAAGGATTCTTAGATACCTTCATGGTACGATGCAACATGGTATAGTCTATTCTTCACAATCACAGATGCATCTCACGGCTTTCTCTGATTCTGATTGGGCTGCGGATCTTAATACCATAAGATCAGTGATTGGATATATTGTTTTTCTTGGAGAAAATCCTATTTCGTGGCAATTAAATAAACAAACTTCATTATCTAGAAGTTCTACAAAAGCTGAATACAAAGCCCTTGCTCATACAGCTGCTGATATAGCTTGGGTTAGACAAATTTTGATAGATTTGAAGTGTGTTTTACTTCAACCACCTGTTATTAATTGTGATACCATGTCAGCTATTGCATTAAGTTCGAATCCAGTGTTTCACTCAAGAATAAAACATTTGGATACCGATTATCATTTTGTAAGGGAGAAGGTATAAAAAGGAGATCTTGCAGTGGCCTATGTTCCTACTGACGAGCAAACTACCGATGTTCTAACAAAGGGTCTTCACAGTCCTGCATTCATCAGACATTGTTACAATCTGAAGCTTGTCACCCCAAGCTTAGATTGAGGGGGGATGTTGACAGTAATAACAGCTGGCAATGCCACATCAGCTTAGCTAATAGACTATTGGTGGTTATGTTGGTTAAAGGTGTTATAACTAACTGATATAGTTACTGATGTAAGTAGTGCAAACTATATAAGATGTAATGGAATTACTGTAATCTTCAAGTCAGATCAATACATAAGTTTCTCTCTCTAAACATTCAGTCTCTCTCTAGAACTCTTCTTTCTTCTCCTTTTCTTGTTTGAGTATTCACTACAGATTCGGATTTCAGTATACGTTAACATATATGTGGTTAGCACACACCAACACCGTAGCTGACAACTAAAACTTCAATTAAAATAGTCAACGTTCAAACTTCAAAGGCCTTATACACGCTTTTACTTGCATGCAAAAACTCCAATTTCTGTTCAAAATTGCGATTCAAGAAAATAGTGAAAAAACTCGACAAGAGTTGGTCAAAATACCTCTATACCATTAGTAATGTTAATAAAAAAAAATTGAACCAGGACAACTTAATTACAAAATATACAGTAAAACTTCTTTATCATAATACTCTATATAGGAATAACCTCCTTAATTGTGATAAAAATTTATGGTCCCAACTTGCACTCAGTTATATATGTAAAGAATAAACTCCGCATTATAATAAGATGATTTTTATAGGTCACGTATTAAGACCTCACCCCCATGTAGTAATAATTATTAATAAGTACAAAAATATGCAACGCTACAAATACAAGTTTAAGATGAACTAAAATATTTCTCTATAATTGTTTGAGACAATGTATTATTTTTTTAAAGTTTATATCATGCTTTTGAGCTTGCAAGTACGTAATATCTCGTCAAATGGACTGTTTCTAGCTTCTCAAGCATGTTTCCGATAAGCATTAAACTTAAAGAGAGTACTACATACAACATGCACTAGATTTTAAAGATTGAGTGTCTTTCTTTTTTCAATGTTACATCTTAGAAATTGACGTACTCCACTAATAATATTTTTTAGCTACACCTCTATTAAGTAATAACGTCCCTAAAGTTATAAAATTCTCTTGGTTCTAACATGATGACTATATAGAGGTTTTACTGTCTAGATTAATTAAGTAAACAAAGCTATAGCTCGTTTCCAAAAAAAAAAAAAACAAACAGGCTATAGCTCAACTTAAGAGTAAAAAGAACGATTGTGTTTTATTAATTAGCCTTGATTTGTTATAGGCCCACAATATGGTGAAGCCATAAAACCAAAGCCCTTGCGGGTATGACGACCCATTCAATTCAAAGTTAAAACTAAAGCCCTTGCGGGTATGACGACCCATTCAATTCAAAAGTTAAAACCAAAGCCCTTGCGGGTATGACGACCCATTCAATTCCAAGTCAAAACAAACAAATAGATTTATAAAAATCAAAGTCAAATGAAAGTTGGTCTTAATTGATGCCTATAAAAGAGGCCCCCGTATTCCCCATCTATTCATTCCTTCAATTCATTCATTACTTCAATCCTTTCTATTTTTCAGACAGACAAAAGAAGCAAAATCTAGTTTCCAACAAACCTTTATCTTTATCTTCATTCATTCATTCCTTCTTCTTCCACAGAATAAAGAAGCAAAATAATCTTTGTCTGCCCAACAAAATGAAGTTTCTAAAAATGTTTTTGGTGGCAGTGTTTTTTGTGGTTTTTCTTATGAACATGCAATCGTCCGAAGCCTGCAGAGTGTTGCATGGAGAAGAAAAGTTTATGCATCAGATGAAGAATGATGTTTTGCATCAGATGGATCGTCCCTTCTTCCCTTTGATCAGGCAAATACTTAGGGGCACTGTCCCTCCCGGAGGTCCTAATCCAACTAAACCTTGAAGTAGTACCAATTCCAAAGACTCTGCAACCATCAACGAAAAGCACTAGCAGAATTAATTTTTAACCCCTTTTAAACATTTGATATATTTTCTTAGCAGTGAATAAGTACAGGAAAATGCCTGCAGTTTAGGGTTTTTTTTTTTTTTTTTCTTATATAAGATGTGTAAGAATGTAAAAAAAAAAGTGTATTAGGTTCCTAATGTGTATGAAATTGACTGAATAATACGAAGTACAGAGAAAATTATATATATTTATTAATTTCTTTTTGTGCCTGTGTGCATCTGTAGCTCTAGCATGGGTTTGTTACCTTTTAATTTAACAGTGAGTTTAAAATCAAACACCATTTTGTTGACCAGAAATTAAACTATAAAATTGCGAAAATATATTACCTGGTCTACAAACACCTCTGACAGTGTTTTGCATAGAGATATACATAAGTATTATACCACAAATGTGTGTGTTTGTGTTAGAGTGAAAGCTCTACATATCTGGTTTGAAATTAAGGCACCTTTTTTAGTCTAATTTTAAAGTGAGACGGTTTCGCCATCACTTAGTGTTATTTAGCATTCCACTCATTACAACATGAATGGATAGGTAATACCATGTGACGGTGTAACTGTTACACTGATAAAATAACTCGTGCCGGAGAAAAAAACCCTTTCAACTAAACAGTGCCATTCACAATTTGAAGCCAACACCAATCCTTTCAACTAAATATTTCAGTTCACAAAAAGTGCATGGTGTATGACAGTGTCTAACATTACATGATATCTGAAATTAGTATGCATTAATAACGTGAGTCATGCAATAACATATGAACGTTTTGTTTGTTTTACAATGTCATGCAATATCATGAACTATATGCCTGTGGACTGTGGAGCATCAAATTCAAAATATATATCAAACAGTTGGCGCGCGCTAGCTGTTAGTTGGATCCATGGTTTTGGTGTTAATTCATACGCTCCTCCCCGTTGAGTTTGATTTAAACTTATTAACGTTTTGCATCATTTAAAAAATAATAATCATCAAGAAAATTTACATGCAAAAGGAAAACTAATGAAAAATGCTTGAAAACTTTGAGTTTTAACGATAAGGACAAAATAAAGGGTAAAGTAAATAGTATCAGGTTTGACTTTTTAGTGTAAAAATGTGATTTTTCTTTAAAATGAACAGTACCGTGGGCTTTTTGTTAAAACTCCCAAATATATATATATGGAATGTATTAAGTGACGCACGTCTTTTTTTGGGTTATAACATTAAGTGACAAATGTGATCACTTTGTGTATGCCACGTGTCACCATCCTATGAGGTGATTAGTTGGGATGGTTAATAGCAGTTAACTATAGATAATGCTAGGGACCAAATTTATACGCCACAGCACCATATCTACCATGGCTGATTGTCCATGGACATAAGAAGTCCGTTATAAAAAGTCCAATTTAATGACAGACGTTTGAAGTTCGTGGTAAATAAATTAGTTTAACAACAGGCGTAGAGTGATCAGTGACTGAAGGTGTTGAAGCAACATGTGTTTAAAGCCCATTGTGGTTTGGCTATATATTATCACGAGGCATGTCTGTGGTTACAAAAATTTTGACAACAGCGACATTTTAAATCTACCACAAACTGTAAGTACTGTCGTTATAATTATAATTTTTCATTTTTTTAATCAACCAGTATAAGAATACACACTCAAATTTCAGATCTCAATGAAACCTATTTACCGTTTTCATATCAGACACTGCCAACCACTAGGTCTCACCCCCTATTCTTATGTCGACAATTACTCCGACCCCAAACTACTCATTTCTTTGCCTTGTTCGTATACACTATTCGAACCCTAATTTTTTTTTCTATTTCTTTGGGCATGTCAGGTATTCCCAATCTATAGGATCTTCGTCTTCGTCTCCAACTAGAGAGCACGAGATCTCGCTGGTGTATATCTCGGTGGATTTCAGAGGCGGTGGCGGAATAGGAATCGATCTCTGAGATCGATTAAATTCTGGGCGGCGAATCTCCACCATTGATGAAATTGTGATTCTTTCTTTCTATGTTATAACTTCTTCAGGTGTGCGCTCGGTATATTTCTTTAATTTTGATTTCTCAAATTGCTATTGTTTATTAGATTTTGCTTCGATCTGATTCCAGTTGAGTTCGATTTCGAACTTGAATTTAAATTTGATTTTGATTTACATATGTCCAAATTTCGTTGAAGGTATTACTTCTTCGATTTTGATTTCAAGTTCTCCATTTTGGTGATTTTGATCTCAAGTTTTAAAATCGAAAGATTAGGGATCGGGGATTGGGCTAGGGTTTCAAAACCAGAGAGATGGAGTTGGATTTATGGCTTTCTCTATGAAAATGTGTGTTTTGGGGTTTCGAATGGTGAGCATTGAAGGGGTTAAGGAGTTTGAAAACTGAGAGACTGAGGGCTGCACTAGTTTTTTAATTGCATGCTTGTTTCTGCAATCCAATCAGAGTGCTTGGTTTTTTTTTTTTTTTCGTTGTTATCTGAATTTAATGATATTATTTAGACAATTTTGACTCCCAACTCCTTAAGTGTGATTCTGATTATACTCTTTTTGGAATTGTGTTTCTTGAATTCCATCCCAAATTGTGATTCTAATTTCCCCTTCTTGGTCTTTAATCATACCAAACTCAATGCTTATTCATGCTTATAATTTTAGTTTGTGGAGTTTGATTTTATCACCAATTGTTTACTTGAAAACTTTAATTAGTGGGCAGCCTTTGGAGAAAAAGTTATGAAATTCTGGTGTTGAATATGGAAAATAAAAATCAATCGTTATCGTCAGTCCGTCTTGAATTAGTAATCTAATGAAATTAATATTTCAAGACTCTAGATTTGAGACATGCTAGCCCTCTTCTCCACAGGTAGTTTTTAACTTTTTATATGTTTTAAGTTTTTTTTAATATAAATTTTGAGTGATGTTTCATTCTTAAGCCGTGGTTTCTTTGCTTTGCAGTTTCCAGTTTCTATTTGTACAAAGAACTTGCAGACAAGGTAAGAATTTCATATTAATTTTTGGGCTAATTAATGATTTAGTTTATAGTATTGGTTTGGTTACTAATGTTTATGGTTTATTAAAAACAAAAAAGTCTCTGTTTATGGTATTGATTTGGTTAATCTTGTATAGTATATGTTTGCATAAATATATGTAGTTTTAGAGGGATGCATGAATAGAAAGGTTTAGAGGCAAAAACTGTACATGAAATTCTAGTTTTAGAGGCAGAGCAGTTGAGAGGAATACCTAGAAACCTGAGAATTGATGATTGTAAGTTAAGCTCTGTATTTACTTCATTCACTGTATATGCAATTCTAATTTTGCACTACATGCTCTTGTTAGAGTTAGGTCTGTATATCTGTTCGATTCTTTACTGGTTAATTTTTGGCTTCTTATTTGGACTATTGGAGATTCATATATCTCTACAAGCTAGTTAACTTTTGACTTTCTTTCTTTTGATCCATATGCTTATGTCCACGTAGATAGAGAGAGGCAACAATTGTTAAGGGTCAAGCATTAGGGGCAGTATTTCACTCTCAAGGCCCTTTTGTTTGGAGGTATTCAAAGAAATCTGAAGTGTTCAAGCGACAATGTCCTTGTTATGGCCTATTTGATACTTCTTGGATGGTTTGGTATTTCTTAGTATAACTCATTGGTTTGTTATTAGTTTTAGTGTACAGCTTGTAATAATTGAAATTTTAATCTATGATTTTTTATGTAATCGTTATATTGTAGTAAATATGCAATTTGTATATAAATATTTATATATATAATTTTTATTGAATTTTTTTTTTAATTTTTGGGAATTGTTTTATAACGGGCATTGTTTTTGGTCAATTTGGAATCCACAACGTCTATAGTGCACGTGGTGTTAGATTTTAATCTACCACGGGCACAATCCGTGGTTCCGTGGTTGCATCACATTAGACAACGAGCATAGCCTGTAGTTGAAACTATGACTTTTTATCACATCCAGATTACTAACGGGCACATTGTTCGTGGTGGATTGCAATCTACCATGGGCATCAACCATTATAGATGAGCTTTTTTTCTTCTAGTTGCAAACAAATGATGTGTCACCGACATGAAATAAGCACGTTAATCAACGCTTAAGTTATAATCTAATCATCCACATCCACATTCACACCATTTGGCTTAGTAATTTGCTCTCTCTAGCATTACACATATATATACAAGAAGAAAAACCCACATCTATCACGGTGAATGCCCGTGGTTGATTGCAATCTACCACGGACATTGTGCCCGTTACTATTCTGGACATGATGAAAAGTTTGAAGTTCTACCACGATCAAAGCATGTTATCAATTAAATAAAAAGTACAAGACATCATCTTATCTACCACAACAATTTTAGCGTTAAGATTATAAAATTTGTATAATGAAAATACGGTATTTGAAAAAAAGTATGGTATGTGCATTCCCTCGTGAGAGTGTTTATTACACCAAATCATAATAGAAACTAATCTAGTCATTCTTTATATCATGCATGACATTAATTTAAGGTCAAATGGGACTTCAGCGATCACGATAAAATTCAACTTTTTTATATTCATGCCGTGTAAAAGGTTAGCACACCCAATACTACAAACTTTCAAAGGTCTTTGTAAACGCTTCCCCACCATATCCTTTAGTTCTCAGTTCTCATCAGTTTGCCAAGGAAGCAAATGAATTTGATCAATTCCCAAATTTCTCACTCGGTTTACTATTCAATTTCTAACATTTTGAAACGACCGTCAATGGTCAAAACATATAAATATAGCTCGGTAAATGTTATTGAAAATTTCAAGTCGTATAATATCAGTTCTGTTAGTCCACAATATTTCATATATATATAATAGCAGAGCTAGCAAGCCCTATAAAATATCCCCCCACTTATTATTCATTGCAACTCAATCCTTCCGATTTCCATCTTTTATTTGCATTGCATACAGCTTGAGAAGAAAAGAGAAGAAAAAAAGAGCAAATTAATAAAGTCATTGTTTGACAAACAAGGAACAACATGAAGTTTTTAAATATACTTTTGGTGGCAATGGTAGTGGTTTTTCTTGTGAACACGCAGTCGAATGAGGCCTGCAGAGTGTTGTATCATGGGAAAGACAAGTTGATGACGGTGAAGAAGGATGTTTTGCATAATCAGGACTTCCCTATTGAGGATCTGATTATCAGGCAAGTACTGCTGAAGGCTCCTGCCCCACCCGGCGGTTCGAATCCAACAGAACCTGCAAAAGTTAATTAGATTTTTATTCCACAACGTTTAATTTATATTTAATCTTCTTGACAGTGAATAAGTACAGGATGCTGCATTGTTTCCTTGGATAAGTTGTGTAAGCTGTAAAAAAAAGGTTCATTAGCTTTCCCAATTTAAATGATTATATTTGACAGAATATACATAATACAAAGTAATAAAGACGAAATTCCTTCTTTTTTATTTCTGTTTCTGGTTTATTTATATTTTGCACATGTATGTAGGAGTGAGGATCAAACTGATCGGTTCAAATTGTAAGGAGCAATTTGGTTCGGTATTGATCATCAACAATTCAAACGGTCTCAAAATCGAACCAAACGATAAAACCATGATTTTGATCCTATACAAATCACAACCGAACATCCCTTTCTTATTGTATTCGTATTTTCTTCACATGTACATGTTGGCCTATGTACTAACAACAAAATTGCAAAAGAAAAAAAGGATTGGACTTGGACACAAATATTTGGTTTGGTTTGATTTAATTTCACCCAGATTTATTTAAAATGGAACAAAAATGATCCATCATTTAATAATTGGTTGGGTCACTAGTTTAGGTGCGAAACATGTTTAAATCAGACTGTGCCCACTGTAACGACCTGTCCCCAAATATTTCAGTTTTATAAGCGTGAAATTACGAAAATGCCCTTCAAGGCAAAACGTTGACTTTTGTTGACTACCTTGTTGTATCACGTAAGGTTCTTTTCCTTGGCATGTCCTTGTAGTACTCGTCACTACGAATACATGGGCATAAGGGAAATTGAAATTGGTGCTAAGATGGAGATTTTACGGACTCACGAACGTGAAGGGCAATTTGGTAATTTTATGTTGGGGATATTCTTGTGTATGCTTTTTGTGAGCTGTGGGGCCCACACCCCACTTTCCCTCCTTCCCCATGTTCACCCCACTTTCCCTCCTTCCCCATGTTTTCTCCCCCGATGCTCTCGAACTCTCTTGAAATCTCTCCCTCATCTCTCTATCATTCTCTCATTCTTTCCAAGCAACACACACACAACACCACCACCACATCACGTCGCCTCTTTGGCAAGCCTTTATACCACTTGAACCCTCCAGACCACCACCATCTTCTCTCCCTATTTCTCTCCCTCGAGTTTGTGATCGCTATGCAAGAACAATAAAGGTTCTTAACAACTTCGACCTAGGTAAGACTCGGGATGCCTGCGATCCTTTCTCTTTTCGATGTTCGTGAGATGCTCATGATGAATTAGGGTTGAGTTTGGGACTAATTATTCATGCATGCTTGTGTTCTTAGAATCTCTAGTTTTTGGCAATAAATCAGATAGCTTGAAAGCCAAATTCTGGCCAACTCCGGCCACTGCTGACTTAGGGTAAGTAGAACGTGGGAAATGGTTAAGATTTAACCCCAAATCAGAGCCGAGGAAGTTTCTTGGCCAAAATCCCTAGAATTCTGATTCTCCTTCGTTGGGTCCAGTGAGCCCCGAGCCCAATCGGGTCAACCCGACCCACAACCCAAAACCAGACCCAAATCCAATATGAAATCTGGTCCAAATCCTCGACCCAAAATCCAATCCATTAACTAAGGCCCAACCCTATAACTCGGCCTAACCGAGTAACCTAAGCCCAGATTCGACCTGAGCCTGAAACACAGTTTCCACGGTCAGCTCATAGGCCATGCGTGGACGCTGCTATGGCCGGCGCATGAAGCACACGCGCCTCCATCGAAGGTACTGTGCTCCGCCGTCGTCCATGGCGGCATCAATGACTTTTTTGACAAACTTTCTAGTGACCATCTATGCGCGTGCAATGGCGCGTTAGGGAACCCGATGTCCCTTCTTAGGTTTTTCGACGTGCCAAATCCAAATCCGTTGTTCGTTTCCCCAAATTCTATCGTTTTAGTAGAGTTTTATTAAACGATCTCCATTTGTGTTTAGGTGCATCAATTGGAAGTGATTCTATCATCCCTAGTTTGACCGGCTTTCCTAGAATTGAATATCTGTGAGTGGACCCCTTCTTAACTTGCATGTTTTATAAAATATTAGGCATGCATTCACGAAAAGCATGATTTCATAATCTTACGTTTTATGCGTTATTTATGATTTATCGAATTTATGTTTTACGAAAGGTTATGAATTATTGGTTTTCTGTATTTGAAATTCTCTAGATTACGAATATGATTTATATTATGAATTTATGAATATGATTTATCATGGTTTATGAATTGATGTTTTGAGCCCTTGAGCTCCGGAGATTTGTTATGAGTTTTTGAGATACGTTTTGGTACTTATGTAGTGGGTTATCATACAATATATACACACAACACGGGTATGTAGACGTCTATGGCCATAGGACACAATTGTTGATATTTATGTCATACCCCCAACTTCACTGGCGAAACCAGTGCCGGACAGCTTCACTAGCCACTGCTACTGTCGATGTGTTATGTATATTTGGGTATTTTTCTTCTCTAGCGTAACCTATAGTCGTACAGCTTCACCTTCGGGTGATAGGGCCTACCATGTTCCTTCACTGGCGTAATCGGGTGTCGTACAGCTTCACCTTCGGGTGATGGACATGTTATGCCTTCGGGCGACTATGATACCCCTAGTGGAGTACATAATTGATGTGATTTACAGATGTTTTACGAATTTACCTTCGCGCAGCTATACTACCATATCTGAGTACAGGCTTATATGTAAGTGTTTTATGAATGTTTTTCATGGCATGCTAGATTTTTCGGAAAAAAAACCTATTCTGTAGTATTATATAATGTTTCTCAAAACAAGAGCTAGTATGTTCAGAAACAAAATGATTTTCTTATTACTAGTATTATTATTATAAATTTTGGTCCACTCACTCTTTTGTTTTGCATCCCCTTCAGGAGTTAGAATTGAGGCACACAATCCTAGCGTCTGGGCATTTCCGCTTAGGTATCTTCGAGTCTTTTCAAAGTAGAACTCATTCCTTTATTCATACACTTTTATTGTAATTCTTTCACATTATTCATGATTAGTTGTATGCTCTAAACATGTTTCTGCTTTGGCATATTTCTGTCTAATTACCTATTTTATTTGTATGCATGTTTAATATGGCTTCATCACCCTCAGGTGTCGGCCAATACATGCCTATCCTAGTATTTGGGGATATCGAGGTTGAGGCGTGTCACCAACCTTTGACAAACAAATCTTATATATGAATTATTTATAAATTAATTAAAATTCTATTATGATCCTAGGTACCGTTTGGTACGTGAGATGGGACGGAATGCGCTCGTCCCACGTTTGGTGAGCCAAAGACAGTGAGACGCGTTGTCTTACAAAACGAATTTTGGTTAAATTTATGTTTCACCTCCCCTCCTGGAATGACTCGTTCCACCCCGTGGAACACAAAATTATAAAATTTTAAGACAACAATGCCCCTTATATTTTTCAATAATTACACCTTTTTTTTTCTTCTTC